GGGGAGCAGAAGCCCACCACGACATGCCAGGCCTCGAGCTGGGAGAAGGTGGGTGCTGCTGGCTCGAGGGACTTGAGGACGGGAAGAGTGACTGAGCCATGGTGCAAAGCTGCTCTGGGAAAGGGTCTGGAGAGCAAAAACCAAGGTGTTGGCAGCTCAGATGGACATTGCCATGGCCAGAATAGCTGCTAGGGGGGAAACTGTGTGTCAAGGGAGAAACACGCTGCTCTGAGTTAGAGCAAAAGAGTGCTTGGGTGCCCCCACCGTAGGACAAGTGCTGTGCAGGTGTGGACCCGCCACCCATTTCATGCAGAGACCGTGTCGTTGCCTTGCTGCCACCCACACATGCAATGGAGGGTAGGTTCATTCAGGTGGTGGCTTGAGCCAGATGGAAATTACGGCTCAAAATCCTCAATAGGAGGCGGTTGGTGCCAGCCAGCATCATCCTCGGGAGGCTACGAGACTCCGGCACGCGGCCAGGCAGGGCAGGGCAGCCTGCAACAGCTCTGCAGGACCGTCATGGTGGCTGGTTTTGTCTTTTTTTGCAGAAAAGCCTGCAGGACAGAGAAGCTCTCCAAGCAGTAGGACTTCCCCGAGCACTGTCCTCCAAGAAGTCAGCCTCGCAGAAATTGTGAGTTGCTGGAGGTGGCCTGATGTCCTCAGGCCTTCTCCCCACCACTGTGGTCATCTGAACTGGATCAAGGAGGGTGGACTAGGACAGAGAATGAGTAAGAGGCATCTAGGGGGAAAATAATCAGCCAGACTTGGGCAGCTTGCCATTGCCAGAGCCAAGGAGGGCACCGACCAAATGCCAAATGCATCCTCTCTGCAGAAATTGCCACTCACTGCAAGCAAATCATTCGGGGTTGGGCACAGGCTCCTGTCCTCGCTGTGAGCCTGCACATCTTTGCTCCTGTGTTTATCCTCCATGACAACACGTCTAGCATCCTTGAGTCCTCTGCCCGTTGCTCTGGTTCCTGTCTCAGATGTTGTGCTGGGGAAAGCTCTGAGGAGTGAAGGACCTGGGGAGATTGTGCTGAGCCACATTGCAGCGTAGCTTATCCTGAGTTACAGAGTCAGCTCTCCCTTAAAAGCCTGGAGAACATGTAAACTGTGGGAGTTGTGGGTACTGAGAACAAATACACCACAGCAGCCCTGCCCAAGAGCATCGCAGATGTCTCTCCATCTGCAGCATAATGAATATTGGTATTTTCAGAGGGCCTGGCATTCAGTGGTTGCCATTTTGTGCATTGATGCAAGCCTGCCATGCCTTTAAAACACAGAGAGTATGTGTCAGCCGAGGGATGCTGAGTGATATGGTGATATTGGGTACTGGGAGATGAGACTGCAGGACCTGGAGCCCTGTTCCTGGTCGTGGGAACTCAAGCCCACATACACACCCACATAGATATTTCTGTTTTGGCACAGGCTTCGCTTACCTGAACTCCACAGAAAACTTGAAAGAGCAGGTGAAAAGGGGTTTTGGTAAGGCTGCAGGCAGGCTGTGAGGATAATTAATAGGGATCGCAGGAAGGGTTGGTGACATCTCCAGGTGGGCAGGGGAAAGTCAAGTCAGAACATGTGGTGAGCCTTTCATGACAGCAGATGGAGATGATGATGTCCTGGCCTCACAGCCAGGTACTCCACTGGAAATACACCCATCAAATCAGTGCATGCCAGGAGCTTGCATGAATAAAGTCTAGTGGCCTGACTAGGGGTCAGGGAATTTGCAGGGTCTTATCTTGGTTAAGCCACTGAATCATGGCTTGGCTTGACTTGAGAGGAAGCACAAGACCTCCTGGGCTACAAATCAGTGCAGCCAGAAAATAAAGAGTATGTAGATCCCGCTAGAAAACACGAAGGGGAAATTTCCTGGGAAAACCAATAAAAATACGGTTGAGCTGTTGACCAGAATTGTATCAAACTTAGGAACTGTCTGTCCTGTTCCCGCTGGTGAAGAGCCGCGTCTCTGCGCAGTGGGGCTCCTCTTAGCCACGCGCTGCCCGGGGTGCACAGCAGAACGGCTCACCTGGACTTTCTCCCCTCTGCCGCAGGCGTCCCAGAGGATTGCCAACCAGCTGCATGGAACCATAGCCCTGGTGAGACCCGGCTCCAGACCCTGCCTCCTGGAAAAAAGTCCTTCGAGGGCAGCAGTGTCCCCACCAGGAAGGAAAACTCCTCTCCCGTCGGAGCGCGAGCACAGCCCCAGCCTTGAGGCGTGAGTTATCTGCTCGTGGATCGTGGTGTGGGCCTGATCCACGGCCCGCTGCAGCTGTCCCACCGTGCAGACTGCAATGAGATGGCCGGTATTCGCTCTATCTGCCCACCTTCTTCTCCAGACTTCTCCCACAGCCTTGGGGAGGGGGGGGGTCTCCCAGTTTACACCAGCAAAAAATGCCTGGAATCCAGCCCAACAAGATCAGCCTCTCATTACTCCAACTTTGTCAGACAAACCCATAAAGCGAACCGGGTGCCCCCTCCTCCGAGAAGGACTTGCCTCACGGGAGGCAGCAATCCCTGCTCCTCCTTGTCTATTCTAATGGGCTTTTCTGCAGGGCTCAGCGCTTCCCCGGGCTTATCCTCCCCGCTGGTTTCAGAAGCGCAGAGGCTGAG